TCCTGCCCCAATATCAAGCACATGGTTTCATCCATCTAAAACCAAAAATGAGGGCAACCTGTGCTCTTCCAGAATAACCAGAGGAGCTGCAGCTCTAGCTGTACTCAAGAAGACCATTGGAGGAGGACGTTGAGAGTAATTCACATCCCTCAGGAGATGCTCAATGCTGGTCTACAAATTCCACACTGCAGTGCTGAGTTCCCAGGCAGGGATAATCCTCCAGTTCCTATGCTGTGGAAACCTCTGTGGTCCCCAGCAAGGAGCAGGGATGGGGCCGCAGATCTCTAGGAAAGCCACCTTTGGCAGCCTGAAGTCCTGCTTGCCCTGATGGACCTCCCATCTGCAGCTCTGCCTTTCCCCACAGAGCCCAAATGTTGCTGAGGCAGGGATGGGTCTACTTGGTGTCACCTACTCTCAGGTGTCCTTAGCCCTGGGATTTGAAGTCACTACAGTGCTTTGAGGCTCAGAGCCTCTGTTCATTGCTGTGAGGATCAGGCCCACAGCAAGAGATGTCTGGCTCACAAAATAAAGGGATGAGGGAGGATTCCCCCCTTGGTCCTCATGTGCAGGCAGCAGCGCTGCAGCCAGGCGCTGACCACGGGGACAGAAACAGGTCCGCACTACGCACAGCCAATGCTGCCTTCATGGAGAGAAGCAGTGCATGGGCACAGCTCGCTCACCTGCAACGCACAGACCTCTGCCGCGTTGAGGATGGTATTTTAAAGAGCTGTCAGTGTCTTAATGACACCAAAACTTGGAGCTGAAAAGGGGAGATGAACCAGCAGGAAGCTGTTTGCTATCAGGACTGGTTTTCACCCTGCACTGTCTCAGAGAGTGATCAGACAAGGAGATGCAAGTGGGATGGGTGGGAAGCAGAGATCTCCAGGCAAAGGAGGGAGGCAGACGCTTTTAGTGGCTTTAGCCTTTGGACAGACTTTGCTGGCTCATAAAACAAATCAGAATGGGCTTAAGAGAGCTGTCAGTTTGGGACCAATGCTACCTGAGAGATCCCATGGGAGACTGGCTTGCAGGATCACAGCATCAGAGCTGGGAAGGGACCAGCACCAGTGGGACATTGACTGGTCCTGAGCAGCTGGAGGCTCTGGGGCACTTGGAGAGCTGAGGCACATGGGCAGCTCTCCACTGCCCCATGTGCAACCCCAGGCTAACATTAGGTCTGGGTCCATGCCCAAGTCTAGGTCCAGGTCCAGGTCCAGCTACTGCTCAAGGCATGGCTGCATAGCAGGTGCCACTCCAAAGGGAGCACAGGGCAGACCGTGCCCTTGGGGGCTGGCTAACATGGGGACAGCAGGAGGATCCTGGCAAGAAACCTGGCCCCACCACTTCTTGCCCACGTGTCTTCTCTACAGGGACATCTGAGGCTCTCCTCTCCTTGTCTGCTCGCTCCCCACAGGACCCAGCCCCTGCCCCCTGTCTTTCTCCCGCCATGACCACCTCTGATGCTGGACCGATGGGTCCAGTGATAAGCTGGTCTCCAAGGGGTGCTGTGTGGCTGCAAAGCCTTTTTGCAGCTGTTTCATTGGGTGCTATTTGACCTCATGAAGGTGAGGCCTCCTGGGGTCCTCCCTGGGAGGGATGGGATGGGGATGAATCATGCCTTGATGTGGTGTGCAATGGCAATATCAGCCAGTGCCAGCACAAGGCACCCTGAGCACACCAGTTTATGGGGGCAGCACTGGGAGAAAGCAGGGCACGGCCGGCACAAGACACGGACTGAAGCTCAGTGGCTCTTTCTGGGCTGCACAAACGTTATTGCTCCTACATCCCAGGCTGAGCTCTCGAGCCAGCGAGCGCCAGCACCATTAATAGTGCAGTGACAGTGTTTAAATTGGAGCTGCCACCGCCGCAGACACAATAACTCCTCGTGCCCGAGGAACTGATTAGCAATGACCCGGTGCTGCATTTTCCATCACCCTCTGCGGAGCGAGTGAGGGATGTGGCTGGAGGGGAAAGGGTGCAAAGAGGACCTCTGGGGCTATGGTGCACCCTGCCATCACCAGGTCCTTTCCTGCAGCTGTGCCCCGTACCCTCTCCCTCATGTCCAGCCGCTGGAGCCCCTCCTGCAGAGCTTCAGGGCTGCGCTGCGACTTATTGTCGAGTGTTTACTGTCATTGCCGGGGAGACATTAGTTCAGATTATGTCAAAACAAAGTTATTCCAAGCTCAATCCTAGAGAAAAATATTATTGTAAGCAGTGATTGGCGAGGGGCGGTGTGTCCACCGCCAGCAATCCCAAAGCCCAGGGGGTGGGGGGAGATAGGATCTTTGTTTTCAAGCCAGGCTCCCAGCCAAGAGCAGCCAAAGCCGAGGTAGAAGGGAGATTTTGTGAGGCGGCCAGCAATTCAGGTCAAAGCTTCTTTTTCTCCAGAAAAAAAAATCCTTTAAACTGTAAAGAGAAAGTCCTGTTCCAGCCCCAGCCTTGGCCAGGGAGCATATGTGCCATATTGTCCAGGAATTGAATGTAAGGAATCCAGATGTGCCATGTTATCCAAGAATCACATGTAGGAAGTCCAGGAGTGACTTGTTATCTAGCAATCACATGCCAGACACAGCCTGTTAGACAGGGATTGTATGCAAGGAATCCAGATGTGGCACATCAGATGGGGGCTGGATGCAAGGAATCCAGATGTGCTGCATTACCCCGGAGCTGCGGGGAGGGATGAGAAACAGGCAAACACATGCCGGCTGCACCTAACCTGAAAGTGCAGGTACCCAGC